AGCTGTGGGGAGGGGATTCAGCAGCGTCAAGTGGTGTGTCGTACGACGGACAACACGGCGGGCCAGTGTGTGGTCTCCAAGCCTGAGGCAGTGATGGTCTGCAAGATGCCACCTTGTCCAGGTGATCATCACGTACTCGTGACAGGATGTCTGAGAGCCCCTCTGCCCCTCCAACCCTAAACCTAACCATACCCCCCCCCCCAAAAAAAAAAAAAAAAAAAAAGTTAACCCTAGTCGATGCCTCAGCCTGCAAAAAAGATCTGCTTCTGCACCAGGAACAACCATTGGAAGAGAGCCAGTGAATGAGCTCATCTTCTGCCTGCTAAGGAGCTCAGCCACACGGCAAACACTGTAAATACTGTAGCACAGTAATGGTTCGTTAAGAGTGTCTGTAAATAGAGAAAAACCTCTGGAGGCTCATTTTGACAGACAGGTTGAAAGGAGGGAATGGATCTACAGCAGAGACCTCAGGTGCGAAACGCCCTTCCAGCAGGGATATGGTGCTGTGATTTTTATTTAGTTTCCATCCAAAAGGGAGGTGAAAAAAAGTTCACTTGTAAAAATGGACTGGAACTTTTGGTTCTCTTTTTCCAAGAATTCCATGACGGGCCAAAAAGGCACAACAAAATTTTGAAGCAACATTTTGATGCACATGTTGAGCTCTACTCAACTCTTGACCATGTACATTTCTAATTGTAGTTTCATAACACACAAAAGAAATGTTGATTCTTGGAACCACTGTTACCTAGAACAATGGTTCTCGACTGGGGGGCCACGACAAACTAGCCCCAGCTAGGACCGAGGTGGGGGGGCTGTGCAATTAATTTGAAAAGCATATTATATAACATAGCTAATCTGGGACTGGGTGGTACCCTAAATTGAATTTTTACGGTATATTGATATATTTTCAACACCAGATATAGGATGACACAATACTGTTTATATCATTATACATTTACTGTGTCTTAAAATGAAGGCATTTATTAGAGACTTTTAATAGAAACCAAAGTATTCCTTCCTGCTTGTATACAGCATGAGAGGTTTACACAGAATCCCAGAATTCACAGCTAAAATCAAACCATTCAGTTAGCTTCTCACAGGGACGTTGATGGAGGGGAAAGGCAAGGAATCATTGTTGGTTCGTTTTGTTTTAAAAGATTGTTTAAAATATAATTTGCAATATTTTTTTTTTGTTGAAGGCTAATACCATAACATGACGGTGTTTCCAGTTATTATGCATACTTTGAATAATTTGCCAAATAGGTTTTACATTTAGTCTTCATGGTTTTTTACTCATAAGCACCAAATTTCATTTTTGAGAGCAGTATTGTAAACTGAAAAAGAACGACGCAGTCGAGTGAAACCTTGTTCAAAATAAATTACATTCTCTGGCAGTGTAACAAATTAAAATATGTTCATATTAATAAACATTAATTTATCATCATTGCAGAATGCATATTAGAGAAACAATATAACCTTTGCGGGGTGGGGGGGGCGGGGCAAAGTATGTTTTCCTGGACACAGGGGGTCCTTGGGTAAAAAAGGTGGAGAACCGCTGACCTAGAAGATAATTCCTGAGCTGGAAGTTTTCCCCCGACTACCTATTAAAATTTTCTTTCTTTCTTGCATAGGGTCTTTGGTATTACCCTCCCCCAGCGTGGGAGCAGCTGAGAGCGTCACCATGAAGTCTGAAGAAAGTTCCAAGACAGAACCAGACCATCCTGTCAACAAGATATCTTTAAGTAAGTGCTTTTCACAATGCATTGAACGGCACAATCGGACATGAAATAATTACATTTTAATATAATAACTATGACACGTATGGCTGAAGCCCATGCTGCTTCATATTTAGTATTCTCTAGTGGTAGTACAATTGTTCCATATTGATCTGCTTACTTCACTCTGCATTGATTGTGCTATACATGTTCCTTTACATTCGGTATTGACTTCATACAGAGTTGCCAATTTTGGTCGGCAGGCTGGCGTGAGATTTTTAATTCGAGACAAGTCTGCACACACATGCACAGACATGTACGTGTTTGTAACAGTTTTATTACCATGTAAAGAGTCTGTAGGGAATAATAATATAGATTTCCTCTAAAATTTCTTGCTAGACCATGTGAGTCAGAAAGCGTCAGTGTCACGCCAGATGCTTGAGAGTTGGCAGCCCTGCTTCATTTCCTTCACTGAAAAAGCCTCATTTGTAAATAGCATCAAGTGACAATAATTCACATTTCATGGTATTGGTGCAGTTGTATTAGGGGACTGAGGTTTTATTCCATATAATTTGGCAGTTGTTGATCTTTTCCTTCCACAGATGAGCCATGTTTGGGAGATAAATCCATATTCTGTCAAATGGAGGTCCTTGCACGCTACTGCACCATTCCAGGCTATAATAAGCTCTGCTGCGAGTCCTGCAGCAAAAAGTCGAGCCCCACTGTGGCACCACACAGCGCGGACTCACGCGCCTCCAGGGACGGGTATTCTGGGACTCCCATCCAGGCAGGTCCCCCTCCTCCCTCCACACGGACTAATCCCTCGACCACCCCGAGTCCGCCCACGGGGACGAAAGCCACTCCAACGAGACTAAGCTCAGCCTCGAAGGGCCTGAGCGTCACGCCGAGTCTCAGGCCCACCATCGTCCCATCGACCAGCAGCCCCGCCATCTCCAGGAAGCCTACCGACGGCACCCCCGCAACCCGCAGGAGAGTTTCGGATGCCCCTTCAACTCTACCTCCAGGCTTGAGTACTTCTTCCCACCGGCCTACCTCAGACTACACCCCAAACAGCACTTTAGGCTCTTTCAACGCTGCCAGGTCAAGAAGGAATGAGTCGGGTTTGGAGAGGGATTGGACACACAGGTCTTTGCCTGTGGTGACATGAGCGCTGACGCCGTCTGTGAACGAGCTCCTCGGTGAAATGTCATGCTCATCAGTCATAACTAGACCCTTCCTGGCCAATTGCATTGGACTCTCAACCGGTTGCTGCAAGTTACATTTCCATGCCAGTGGACTCAGACCAGTAACGTTTACCTCAAAAACAGTGGAGCGAACAACACGAGAAAGCCTAGCGTCGAGCACCGCGCACAGTTGCGCGTGCTTCAAGCAACAAGACGGGAAGCAGAAGGAAACCAAGGTGCTGTGAACTTAACGGGCACGCCAAAACGCCACGCCCGCGTCGCTAACGTCTTCATCCACATCCATGTGCGGCCACGCTAACCTGTTTCCACGTGCATCAGAATTACTACTATTTCAATACTTAGGTTATGAATACGTGCGGTGTGGGCGGAGCCGTGGTAGCCATGGTAACCCGAAGTGACGTAATGCTTGACTGGGAGCTGTAACCTCTCCCCTTGGTGCTCTAATATATCATTCCCCCAAAGAAGAAGCCTGAAATGAAGGCTGTGTCACTCAGCAGCGATGCATGTCGGTTTTCCTACTGTAGCACATCTGGCATCTTTTCATGGGGTTTGTGCGTGCTTTGAAGAAACATGTATTTGGATATTTTTTTAACTGATATATATTTTTCAAGTAATACTGTATATAGTGTAAATTTCAGCAAACCTATTGAAAGCAAAAGAATTAACAACAGTGTAATGTAAATTTTAGCGTAATTGGGAAAAACGGAACAGTTACTGTAAGTTTAGCGGATGTGGTTGGTCGGATGGCCACGCCCAGCTGCTCGTTATAGTCGGTTATCTCCAGTCTTGCCGTTCATAGCGTCATTATTTGTTTTGTATAGTTCTTGTATATACACGGAATGAGAGCTTTAAATATTGATATTTATTAAAATTTCAAAGTGGTAGGAAAAGGCTAAACCAGTAAACGTTTTGGCTAATGCAACTGTGAGGTCTAAATGCTTATGAGGGCACGTGTCCTCCTGTGAATGACTGACCGGAAGAACAGGAACAGCACTTACGGAGATACTTTTCCTCTTTTCTTTCTGGAAACCTGAGGCGTCAGGCGTGTTTTTAGCGACGACACATTCTGCCAATTGAGAATTACCAGTCGAATGGATGTGATCTTTCAGACGGCATCGGAGAACAGTACTGTATTATCCGTACCGTGTGTTTGGCATGAGACAGCATGTTGTTGCTGCATGTTCCTTCATTAAACACTGGCAATTGCAAAAAGCAGTTTAAGCCATCCCACTGCTTCAGTTAAAAGGGATGTCAAATTCAATTATAATATCATTGTACACTGCATACACTTAATGATGGCGCATGGGAGAAGCTGTTTAAAAATAAATACATATTCCTTATTTCACTAAATCCACAAACTCTTAATCAGTGTCTTCCAATCTGGTCCTTCAGGATCCACAGACCTGGTTTTTCTCCTTCCCAGTAGGGAGCTGGAAGGGAGCAAAAATGTGGACTGTCTGGCAGGGAACTGGGAGGGAGCAAAAATGTGGACTGTCTGGCAGGGAACTGGGAGGGAGCAAAAATGTGGACTGTCTGGCAGGGAACTGGGAGGGAGCAAAAATGTGGACTGTCTGGCAGGGAACTGGGAGGGAGCAAAAATGTGGGCAGACTGTGGGTCCCCGAGGACCGGATTGGGAAACAATGCTCTAAATACACTGTCCCAGGCATTGTAGTCGGTCTGGGTCCCATGTGACCGTGACCGCAACTGCCTATTTGTGTCTGGTTAACAATCAAGTCTGGTACTGCTTCAGTGGTTCAGATACCACTGCTCAGTCCATGCACAGATTTCATGAAGAGCAACGATTATATCAACAAATTCATTAAAGCCCTACTTAATCAAAAATTGCCTCAATGAAATATGTTAAATGCACAATTATACCATTGTTCCACTAACCCACCCAAATAATTGAAAAGACAAAATCCTGAACCATAGAACAAATTATATTTGGGCAATTAATGTCTCCAGTACCAAACAATAATTTATTAAAGCATTGTAATAACAGTTATGACATATATTAGCCCTCATTTTGAATAGGATATGAGTGTGGTTATTGAAAGAAGTGGATCGGGGCCTGAGACGTCCTTTAAATAAAGCAGTTTATTTATTAGTATCAATGTAACTCATCAAGTTACGAGGTTGTGTGGCATTGAGTTCCTATAATGAATACAAGTTGTCTGGTTCTCTAGTTAGTTATGCCTGCAGAGGTCTGGAGAGCTTCTCAGGTCCTCTTAAAGCAGGTTCTCCAGTCGGTGAGGTCTTTGCTCTGCTCGAGGCACCAGGGGAGTCGGGGGGTGGCTATTTCAGAGACAGAGAGACTCATTTACTTCTGGGGTCGTCTCGGCGCTGGGCAGTTGGCGCCCTGTCGGACAGGCGTCTCCGTAGGTGCCGGGTAAAATCCGCCTGGGCTCGCGGCAGAGCTTGATAGACAATGGACTTCGGCAACCAGCCCTGGAAAGTGAAGGCGAGAGATTGAAATAGAACAAAGGGATCTTCGAGATTGAAATAGAACAAAGAATGCCCCCCCACACACACACAAATAAACAGGCCAGCCGCTCTGATGATGCTGCAGAACATGGGACCAGAACAAGCACTCAGCATCTCCGGAAGCCTCGGACAAGGTCACAGTATCCCTGTATATGCACTGAAGTACACGTACACACTCACAAAAAAAAACACGCCTGCTCATGGAGTGCTATACTCAGTGTATGTACCAGAAACATCACCATGGTTACCATAACATTAGTAATAGTTCCTCTCAATATTGGCAGAATCAAAGCAGATGTGCTACATTTTGTGTCCACACATGCATACAATATAGGGAGATTATTTTGCTTTTTCCTGTTTTGTACCTGTGGTCAATTGAGATCAGAATAAAAAACAAGCTATATAAATGGGTTAGAAAATAGTAATGACATTTAATATATAATAATGACCATTGCCCCAGTGCTCATATTTGCAGAAAAGTGTACGCTACACCAGACACGTTCTCACTTGTGCATGAGCTTTAAAGGTACTGAATGTTTTTTAACCTTTGGGCACATTCACAGTGTCTGCACAGCTCTGTGCTACACCATAATGCTAATGCAGGCACCTGCACAGCTCTGTGCTACACCATAATGCTAATGCAGGCACCTGCACAGCTCTGTGCTACACCATAATGCTAATGCAGGCACCTGCTGTGATTCCTGCTGCTGAGGTGAATGCTAAACACCTCCGTAGAGGAGTAATGTCACGGAGCTGAACTACAGTGTGGCTGGTAGCTCATGGGCTGAGTGTGATTACTGGCTGAGACTCACGCTGTCCCTGCCAATAGCCATGAGGATGCAGGAACAGCGCAAGAAGCCCTTCGAAACAGAGCAAGTGGAGCAAAGTCAGTCTCCTCACTGGAAGGGGACCAATCCAACATGTGGGCATGAAGATTTGGGAGTAACGAGTGCAATTTCCGTGGCTTATTGTCTGCGGCACATTTCCATGTGGTTAAATAAAGATTTACTCGCACTTTCAGAAGCTGACACTTAGCTTAAACGCTCCTGTACCATTAGTGTATGATGTCATCAGTTACCTTCAGGTCCATGTTGAGAAGCCATGTGAATCGGCTCCGGCCCGTGCTGTCTTCAGTCGGCTGTATAATTATGCAGGTAGGTCCATCTTGGGCTCTGCTCAAAGGGACATAGTTTGTGTCAGTGGGTCATTCAGAGTCGGGTCCACATGCAAAGCTGTTCAGATATTTCTTGTAATGGGCCTATATCGGTTCTGTCCAACGCATTTCAGTAAGTGGTACTTTGGCTAAGGCCAAGGTGATGCAGAATGTCTGCCGGAAGTCCATTGCAGGGCACTTTCAGGAATCGGTTCTCAATCAAAAATGAGACACACAGGTCCAGAGTCAGAACTCAGTCCGAGACAGATCTAACCATTCAGCCATTGTTTTGCCCTTGACAGCAACATATCCACACCACATTGTATAGTATCTACACTACCTGCCAAAAGTTTTTGCACACACTTGAGATTTTCTACATTTGCATGTTACTCAACATTTACTAAAAATGCACCCAATATTCTTTGCTGACAAATAAATTTACAGTATGTTCACCATTTGAGTATCTTTATTAGCAAGAAAATGGCATATCTTTTATTCATCCAAGTAACCTCCTCTAGCAGTTATAACAGCAGAGAAAATTAAAGGCATTCTTAAGAATTCATGAATGGTTTATAATCAGTTTATTAATTAGGTTGTAACACTTTACAACCTAATTTTTATTAATGAGTTATTAAGTGGCAAAGGGAACCTTATTGTGAAGTAGTACCAAAAAATCTGCAGTTTATGAGAAAATCTACAGTGTGCAAAAACTGTTGAGTGTGCGTCTGAGTTAGCACTGGGTTAGTATTTGCATGTCCTACAGCTAATCAGGCAGCCTGTATTTCTACTCTGAATTTGATGATGTAATTTCTGACTTTTGGAATACTTCAAGGCTAGCTGGTGCTATGGCGGTGAAGGGGAGCGCTTTTCACTAGAAGGATACTGGTTTCACTCAGCTTGGCTAAAACCGAATCACAATAGAAATTATAATAAACATTAAGCCCCCTGACCTACCTCACGAAGCCCTTTTGTGGAGGGTAGGATTCTAGGTGTGTGGCAATTCCAGCTAAGTAAATGCAAGACTTCTGCTTACTGCAGTGTCTGACACTCAGGAAATCCCGCTGGCCAATCAGGTTGCCTGCGGCCTCAGCTGAAACCTCATGAGTTACCATGGTATCCTTGCTGACACGCTTCAGCACCTGCAAAACACATTGAACTTGTGACCAAAAGCTGAGCACATGCAAGCAGAGATGGCGTCCATGGTAGAGAAATGCTACAAGATGAAATATCCTCATGGGAATATTTGAAAATTACTTAACCACTTTAAATAATACATACAATTTCAAACAGGCTACTAACCAGACCCCAGTGTCGTAAGACTTTTCACTGAAACAGCCCATATCAAATAGCTCACTAATGGCTATAACAGGCACCATTTGTTACACACTCCTATGTCCTTCCCTAAAGACTCAGTCTTGCAATAAAGGCATTTTTGTGCTTCACAAAAATCAGTAAATGATTATTCTGTCTAGGGCCTTAAGGTGATGATACACAGAGCAACTTTTTGAGCAATGTTGCCAGGTAAAAGCCAACCAGGTGAGACAAAGGGCAACCCATCCGGATTTGGATGATCATGAAAAATTGCCCAATGCCAAACAAAGTTGTTCAAATAGAAATTTGTAGCCCAGTATCAGTGGGAATCTGCCTGAGCAACATTGCCCGGCAGCATTGCCAAAAACCTTGTCCTATGTATCATCACCCTAACTATAAGAGAAAAATGGCAGCTTACCTCAATGTGCTGGATGTTAGGGTTCCATAACTTCATTTCTGTCACATTGATAAACAAGTGGTGATGGAGCTCTTCAGGGGAGGCGTCTAAAACAGCTTCCAGCCTGAACACCTTTCTGGCCCCCAGTAGTGTTTTGCTGTAGATAACATCTCCATTTTCCTGAAGAGTTGCAGTGGAGTCATATCATACAAAAGGCACATAGCACAACATATCGAGAGACAGGAGGTCACACTGAGCGACGGAAATAGTCTGAAAGACAAGCCCTTCAATCAACAGCGGGCGGATAGAAATTATATTTTAATCTGTACCTCTGAAATCTCGATTTTCCATCCAGTCTTGTCCTCAATAATCTCCAAGGCCTTTTCCAGTGCGTCTCTGCCTTGTTTCTCATAGGCTGATTCTTCATCTTTCAAAGCAATTGCTCCCTTTGACATTACACCCTCACATCTGTTTTCTGTAAGGCAGCCATGAATTTTTTTCATTAAACGTTGACGTGACAGCAGAACAAAAATCAATTAAGCATTGAGCATCGTCATCACATTTTCACGGGCACGGTGTCCCTGAATCAGCAGGCCGTAGCTGGCGTGGTTGTGCAGGACTCACCAATGTGCCGCGTGATTCTTGCCCAACCAGGAAAGGTGAGGTGACTGTCCTTTTTCAGGTGAGCTAACTCTTGTCCAATTGCGGCCATAGCTGCACGTTTCAGTCCTGTGTTAAAAAGAATATAGCGTTTCTGTAACATTTCCACCATCGACCTTGCTTTTCCATGAAATCTCAACAACAACATGCATCATTAAACCGACTTGAGAAAAGTAATGCAAAGAGATAAGTTGACTAATTAAATAATGCAATATACTGTGGCTAAATCGAGCTTCTCTTCAGCACTAAACGGCGTGACGTCTCCTAGCACTGCTGCTTCCGCTATCCGCACCTGTGGCGCTCCGTACATGCGAGTAAGAGATTCCGCAGCAGAGCTTGACCACCGCTGGCAGCATGCTGTGCATCACGGGGGGCGCGGGGCTGGACGATCCAGCGCCAGCCTTTATAGTATTTCTGAAGGACAGGCGGGAGAGATAAGAAGCAGGGTCTAAGATAGGATTTGACTGAATCCTGCCTTCAGGGTCATTGGAAAGGTCCAGAGCAGGCGTGAGAGGAAATGCTGCAGAAATAAGGCGAACGTCCTGGATGCCGCACCAGTCAACCAGACGATTGGCAAACAGAATGAAAGCCTACAATTAAGAGGTGCAGATCCTTCCAATTGCTTGTTTTCCCCAGCTGGGCCCTACATGTGCTGCGTATTTCAGCAGGACGGTCTTTTCATGGCTGGAGTGAGACTGGGGTTTGATATGAGCTACTTTCAATACAGCAGAGTCTTACCTTAGACTTGGCATTATTTAGGACCACATCCTTAAACATATGTTGTTGACTGCATTTATATAAGAAACATGAGCTCATGGTGAGAGTGACATCACTTCCTGGCAAGAGTTTTATCGGTTCCTTTAACTGGGGTCATGGGTCATTGATGCGGGAATCTATTCTTCCCAGGATGTGCAAGTTGTGATCATGGTTGAGAACCCCGACTAGAAAAGGGAATGAACCTTAAAATCTCACAAGGTAGAAATAATACCAAGCGTTTTACCATGTTACACTAATGCATTTAAATAACATATTCTGGAAATAAGCCACGTAAAGAGCAGCCACAGTCCCGAACGAGCTGTTGTAAGAAAAGAGAATGTGCTGAATAATCTGTTTTGAAAATACAAAAGGGAATGAAGCTCAGTCTGGAAAAAAAAATCCCACCATTGAACGTAAGTGCTTATCTGGCCCAGACAATTTAGAAAGGTTATAGTCAATTATGTCTTTGCAGACCGGCGGCTTCAGACAAATGCACGTCACGTTTCTCCAGACGGTTGAAGATTAGGGCCCCTTTTGCAAACTGAGGCCTGGAAGGGATTGAGGCCTTCAGATACGGAGCCCCATCCTGTCTTCTCAGATCCCATTATTCCTAGAGGAGAAGAGCTGTGACCAGCCCCCCCCCAGAGCTTTGGAATGGGGGGGGGGGGGGGCACAAAACCTATCAGTGCCTCCATAAATAGTTAGCTGACATAAATCAATCCCAACTTTTTGTGCTGCTAGAGACCTGATAGAAGATTCTAGCAATCACTCTCATTCAGGCCCACCTGAGAACCACACGTATACAAAATGTTATTAATTGTATATATATACGTGTATTCATAATTCAAAAGGGAAACATATAATTTTTTCTTTTCTGGGGGCATTGCTGTGGATCAGTGGGTAGCTCTTTGCCCTCACAGCACCAGTGATTTCCCTACATCGGATGAGTGTTCGGTCCCTGTACGACCGGTGTCAGAGCTTGGTCCACATTGTCGGCAGTAAGTCGGACTCGTTTCCGGTGAGGGTTGGACTCCGTGTGCCCTCCGGCTGCCCTCTGTCACCGATTCTGTTCATAACTTTTATGGACAGAATTTCTAGGCACAGCCAGGGCGTTGAGGGTGTCCGGCTTGGTGACCTCAGGATTAGGTCTCTGCTTTTTGCAGATGATGTGGTTCTGTTGGCTTCATCAGACCGCGACCTTCGGCTCTCACTGGAGCAGTTTGCAGCCGAGTGTGAAGCGGCTGGGATGAAAATCAGCACCTCCAAATCCGAGACCATGGTCCTCAGCCGGAAAAGGGTGGAGTGCTCTCTTCGTGTCGGGGAGGGGGTCCTTCCCCAAGTGGAGGAGTTTAAGTATCTCGGGGTCTTGTTCACGAGTGAGGGAAGGATGGAGCGGGAGATTGACAGGCGGATCGGTGCGGCGTCAGCAGTGATGCGGGCGCTGCATCGGTCTGTCGTGGTGAAGATGGAGCTGAGCCAAAAGGCAAAGCTCTCGATTTACCAGTCAATCTACGTTCCTACCCTCACCTATGGTCACGAGCTGTGGGTAGTGACCGAAAGAACGAGATCGCGAGTGCAAGCGGCTGAAATGAGTTTCCTCTGCAGGGTGGCTGGGCTCTCCCTTAGAGATAGGGTGAGGAGCTCGGTCATTCGGGAGAGACTCAGAGTAGAGCCGCTGCTCC